TCACCCTCCCAATCCCAGAATATGCCGAGTTCCTGCACTGCAAGTCCAAGAAGTTCACGGATTTCGATGAGGTGCGGCAGGAGATCGAGGCAGAGACCGACCGGGTGACGGGCACCAACAAGGGCATCTCCCCCGTGCCCATCAACCTGCGCGTGTACTCGCCCCACGGTGAGGGAAAACCCCGGAAAACGGGGAGAATCTGGGAAAATCCGGGGCTTCTGGGGCCCTGCGGGAGCGAATCCATCAGGATCCCCCCTTGAGCCCCATCCGTGTCCCCCCAGTGCTGAACCTGACCCTGATCGACCTGCCCGGGATCACCAAGGTGCCCGTGGGGGATCAGCCGCAGGACATCGAGTTCCAGATCCGCGACATGATCCTGCAGTTCATCAGCAGGGAGAGCAGCCTGATCCTGGCCGTCACCCCGGCCAACATGGACCTGGCCAACTCGGACGCGCTCAAGATGGCCAAGGAGGTGGATCCGCAGGGTGAGGGATGGGCGGCGCTGCCGCCGCCTCCTCTTCGTCCTGCTCCTCATCCTCCTTGTCCTCCTTCTCATCATCCTCCTTGTCCTCCTTCTCATCATCCTCCTCTCCTCTCCGTTCCGTGGGTCCCCGTTGTGCTGGGGTTCGTTGGGATCAACCCTTGTCCCCACAGGCTTGAGGATAAAGGGATGGGGGTCACTTCCTCATCCTCCTCCTCGTTCTCATCCTCCTCATCCTCCTCTCCTCTCCATTCCGTGGGTCCCTGTTGTGCTGGGGTTCATTGGGACCAACCCTTGTCCCCACAGGCTTGAGGATAAAGGGTTTGGGATCGCTTCCTCATCCTCTTCTTCATCCTTCTCCCATCCTCCTTCTCCTCATCCTCCTCCTCGTTCTCATCCTCCTCATCCTCCTCATCCTCCTCATCCTCCTCTCCTCTCCGTTCTGTGGGTCCCTGTTGTGCTGAGCTGGGGTTCATTGGGATCAACCCTTGTCCCCACAGGCCTGAGGATAAAGGGTTTGGGATCTCTTCCTCATCCTCTTCTTCATCCTTCTCTCATCCTCCTTCTCCTCATCCTCCTCATCCTCCTCTCCTCTCCATTCTGTGGGTCCCCATTGTGCTGGGGTTCATTGGGACCAACCCTTGTCCCCACAGGCCTGAGGATAAAGGGATGGGGGTCGCTTCCTCATCCTCTTCTTCATCCTTCTCTCGTCCTCCTTCTCCTCATCCTCCTCCTCGTTCTCATCCTCCTCATCCTCCTCTCCTCTCCGTTCCGTGGGTCCCTGTTGTGCTGAGCTGGGGTTCATTGGGATCAACCCACAGCCCCACAGGCCTGAGGATAAAGGGATGGAGATTGCTTCCACATCCTCTTCTTCATCCTTCTCTCATCCTCTTTGTCCTCCTCTCCTCATCCTCTTCATCCTCCTCTCCTCATCCTCTTCGTCCTCCTCCTCATCCTCTTTGTCCTCACCCTCCTCATCTTCCTCTCCTCTCCATTCTGTGGGTCCCCATTGTGCTGGGGTTCATTGGGACCAACCCTTGTCCCCACAGGCTTGAGGATAAAGGGTTTGGGATCTCTTCCACATCCTCTTCTTCATCCTTCTCTCATCCTCCTTCTCCTCATCCTCCTCCTCGTTCTCATCCTCCTCATCCTCCTCATCCTCCTCATCCTCCTCTCCTCTCTGTTCTGTGGGTCCCTGTTGTGCTGAGCTGGGTTCATTGGGATCAACCCATGGCCCCACAGGCCTGAGGATAAAGGGATGGGGATCGCTTCCTCATCCTCCTCTTCATCCTTCTCTCATCCTCCTTCTCCTCATCCTCCTCTCCTCTCTGTTCTGTGGGTCCCCGCTGTGCTGGGGTTCATTGGGACCAACCCATGGCCCCACAGGCCTGAGGATAAAGGGATGGAGATTGCTTCTTCATCCTCTTTGTCCTCCTCCTCATCCTCCTTGTCCTCACCCTCCTCCTCCTCCTCTCCTCTCCATTCTGTGGGTCCCCGCTGTGCTGGGGTTCATTGGGACCAACCCTTGTCCCCACAGGCCTGAGGACCATCGGGGTCATCACCAAGCTGGACCTGATGGACGAAGGCACCGACGCCCGGGACGTGCTGGAGAACAAACTGCTGCCCCTGCGGAGAGGTAGGGCCTGGCCTGGTCACCTGTGTGCCCTCAGGTCACTGTGTGTCCCCCTCAGGTCACTGTGTGTGTCCCCATGTCCCCCTCAGGTCACTCTGTGTCCCCTCAGGTCACTCTGTGTCCCCATGTCCCCGTCAGGTCACTCTGTGTCCCCATGTCCCCCTCAGGTCACTCTGTGTGTCCACTCAGGTCACTCTGCATGTCCCCTGTGTGCCCTCAGGTCACTGTGTGTGTCCCCTCAGGTCACTCTGTGTCCCCATGTCCCTGTCAGGTCACTCTGTGTGTCCCCTGTGTCCCC